CTCTGCTACAGGCTTTCCCCTTTCCAAGCACTGGGAAAGGTGACACTGCACCTGGTTCTCAGGCCTGTGTGTTTATTTACAGTTCATGTGGGAAGTGGGTCTTCCCTCCTCTCACAAGCCTTCCGCTCCGGTTGCTGGCGCGCGCCTCGCTCCCGCCAGAGGCTCTCAGGCCCACCCGGCTCATTTATTTACAGTCCTGAAGGGTTCCCTTCCCCAGTCTCTCAGCGCTCAGGCGGCGCCCAGCCCTCTTTTCCAGCGTGTCTTAACTGTTCTTTTGCTTATTACTCAGTTTCTTTTTTTTCCCGGGTGGAGGTCAGTCTGTCCAGGGGGCTATGCTGCTCTGGCCCAGGCTTGTCTGTGGAGCTACTGGTGGTACCGCGAAGCTCACCTGGTCCACATCTTCCCAAGCCGTATGGGCGCCGGCCACTGGCGGCCCCTGGGCGGCGTCCCGGTTCTACCACTTAACGTGAAGTGGAGATCTCTGCGCTTGGCTGGAGATGTGGAGGGGTCAAGTTATGCCTTTTCTCAGTGATTATGCCTGCAAGTTGTCCCAGCGTCTCATACCAAGAATTATCATGTAGGGAGGGGTCGCTTTCTGCTTCCTACCTCTAGCCGCCGATGAGAGTGTCTGCTCTCTTATTAACCATTCGTTCCAAATCCATGTAACTTTGTAGTGCTTGTTAAGAATTCTGTAATTTATCCACTGAAAACAGTATTTTCTGGTTGCTGTTTTGCTTATTCTGAAGTCATTGCCCTGTCTTTCCCAAATAGGATTGAACAAACGAGCAAAGGATGGGCGCTCATATTCTATAAGTAACCTCTTTTACTTTGTAATAATTTGCAGTCAGCATCTGCACTTCCTGCATCATGTTGAGTACATATCTATATAACATCCATTTAAAGATGTACTGGTACTTTAAGAAAGATAAAATTATTCATATTCATATTCACAAATGTACAATTATAGGTTAACTCAGACTTTGAAACTCTGCGGGAGTCTACTAGAACTGAATAGATGATACTCGTCATATCCTAGTTTTTGCCTTTTTACCATTGTATTCTTTAACTGCCATTTCTTAAATAGTTTCTCGTCTTTTTTCCGGAGTAGATATGTAGAAGAGTGGCCTGTAAATTAAGAGTCTCGCGTAGTGAGAAACATCAAAAATAGGGAACCTTTTTTATCTTAGAGCTTTCTTGAGAAGCGTGTGAGTTCGCGAGATGGCAGTGTTGTGTCGAGAGACCTAATTTATGTCCTTTTAAAGTTAATGGTGGATGTATGGCAAGTGACATTATTATAAAAATAGTCTGAGCTCTTTCTGACTTCCGATGTTATTTGAATCAGTGCTTCATAGATGTTTTCTCTAAGATAATGTTATTTTGCCAGTATTGATAAGGTATGCCCATAATCTAAACTTATTAGGCAGATGCAGGATCAAGGGCTGGTGGAGTGGCTCAAGAGGCCTGGCCTAGCAAGCATGAGGCCCCTGAGTTCAAAACTCTAAGTACCATGAAAGAAAAAAAAAGAGTTAAAGGACACCTGGCAAATTAGGTCCTATCTCAAAACCAAAAAAACCAAAAGGATTAGGGAACATGGCTGAGTGTTAGGGTGCTTGTCTAGCCTGCACGAGGCCCTGGGTTCAATTGCCAGTACTACAAAAAAAAAATAATATATAAGTTAAATAATGGTCATTTAAAATGTATTCAATATACTTGGTGGGGAGGGTGGGCTTACATTTGAAATAAAAAACCGGGCTGGCATGCGTGACTCATAGCTGTAATCCCACCTACTTGCGGAGGCAAAGATTAGGAGGATCAGAGTTTGAGCATAGCCTGGGCAAAAGTTAGTGAGACCTCCATCTCAATCAATAAGTCAGGTAGTGGTCTCTTGCCAGCCACTGGCAAGGCCATAAATAAGAGGATTGCTACCTGAGGCAGGCCCTGGGCAAAAACACAAAACCCTACCTGAAAAATAACTAAAGCAAAAAAGGGCTGGAGATAGGCTCAAGTGTTTAGAGTGTCTGCCTAACAAGTGTGAGGCCCTAAGTTCAAACCCAAGAATGCCAAATAAAGTAAACTGGGATGTACTTTTCATAGGAAAGAATTCTAGTGGAAAATAATTATAAGTTGGAGTTAGTGAATAAAGTTTTGTTAATCATGGTACAAAGTGTTACTAAGTTTTGTTGAATAATTTTAACAGGTATAATTTGTTTATGTGAAATATTTTCATTTTGCTTGAATATGATATAGTCCCAGCTATTTTTATTTAGATTTACTCCTATTCATTGTGAGTTTATTTTCTTCTTAGGCAACTTTAAAAGTTTAATAATCCCTCCATTCCCTTCAGGTTTTAGTTTAGACGTGTGTGTGTGTGTGTGTGTGTGTGTGTGTGTGTGTGTGTGTGTGTACACAGACACTTTGCCTTTCCAACAGCAATGGTCTTGGGTTCCTGCTAACATTAAACTCATGAGACAAAATAGGTCTCATCCAGCACTAACTTAACTTTAAGAAAAAAATGATAAAGGACAGGAAGAAGCTTGATTAGTTCAGCAATAATATTTTAGAGAAGGCTTATGATTTCCAGATACAGCTTTTGCATGTCCTAGTCATTTTACACTGGATATTTTTATGGTCCAGAGGAACATGATAGGATAAGGATGAAACCACTGCATCTGGGGGCTTTTCGACCTCCCACCTCTCCCCACTGAGATTTGAACTCAAGGCCTCACATTTGCTAGGCAGGTACTTTACCACTAGAGTCACTTCACCAGCTCTTTTTTTGTGATGGGTTTTTTCAAGATGGGGGTCTCATGAATTATTTGCCTTGGCTGGCCTCAAACCAAGATTCTCCTGATCTCTGCCTCCTGGGTAGCTAGAATTATAGGCATGAGCCACTGGCGCCCACCTTCATGGTCAATCTTGGTTTATCCATGTCTATTTACTTCTCACTTTTCTTTTTTTTGAAATTGGATTTCAATATGTTGCCCAGGCTGAACTTAAACTTTGTGTGTGTGTGTGTGTGTGTGTGTGTGTGTGTGTGTGTGTGTGTGTGTGTGTGTGTGTGTGTGTGTTTTACCACATCTGGTTCCTTTCCTCTTATTTTAAAGCAAATTCCAGGCATTACATTTTACCAATAAATACTTCATTTTTTCCCTAATAGATGACTATAAACCTAAATTTCAAAAATCCTGACAGTGCTCAGATTTTTTTATTGTTTTATTAATGTTAACTAATTTGTTGTTGTTATTTGAATCTGGATACATATAAGGTTCAAACATTGAGATGGGTTTTGTAAGTTGTTTTTTATTTATTTGAGCCAGGAAAGTAGTCTTAGCTACTTGGGAGGGTAAAGTGGGAGGATCAGTTGAGTCTGGGAGTTTGAGGCCATCCTTAGCAAAATAGCAAGACCATGTCTTGAAGAAAATACTTTCGAATAGAATTCCCCAACATCTTTTTGTTTCCTGGTGAAGTGTATTCGTTGACAGGCCTAGGTCATTATCATGTAGCATTTCCCGTAAATACACACACCATATTTTACACATTGAGCTCTTGTATTATATGTATTTCTGTGCTACTTTTTTTTATATAACGTAGTAGGTACATCTAGAAAATTGATCAGATGCAGTATTATTTAAGTTCCTTTTGGTGGGAAAGGAGTCAGACAGAGTCTGTTTGTGCTCTGCAGCTGCCATTGGTGTTCAGTGCCTCATTAAAAGTTGCAAAAGGATATTCAAACTGTAATTTCTTCACTTATTGCTGGAATACTTCTGATAAAGAGCAGCTTTCCTTCATCTATTTGGCTAGTCAGTGGTATAGTTCATACAGGAAAAGCAGGACGAATATTTCATATTTTGCTTACCAATATCACTGTGAACTGGTAGATTTTAATATATTTGCTGTATTATCACCCATATAACTATGTTGTCCTGTCTTTGGCCTGAATAAAGCATCTTCATATCTATCATGCTTTAAATTAAAATGTCTTTAAATGTGTTGCGAGCTCTACCCACTTTTGTTTTATTTTCCTTCAACTCCTACACAATACATCTTGGTGGCTTTGCCTACATTAAATTACTTGATCCTTAAAGCACTTGAGGTTTTGGACCCTTTTAAAAATTACTACTTTCTTAACCTCAAATAAAATTTGAATTGGAATTGGACTTTTTATAGAGACCCCAGAGCATAGTTATTTACCATCAGTAAATTACTTCCCTCTGTTATGAGTCTGCCTATCAACTAGAGTCTACTTTTTCTTTTGTTTCCTATGTTTTGTTGTATTTATTTATTTTGCAGTACTTGGATTTGAACTTTGGTTCAGGGCTTTGTGCATTCTAGGCAAATACTCTACTGCTTGAGCCATACCTGCATCCCTTTTTGCTTTAGTTATTTTTCACATAGGGTCTCATGTTTTTGTCTGGGGCCAGCCTGTGGCCTCTCACGCTGCTGGACCCTGGGTCTGAGTCACTATTGCCTGGCTTTGATCAACAGGAGATCTCACTAATTTTTTGTTCAATGCTGGCTTCAAACCATGATCTTCCTAATGTTCTCTGCCTCCTGAGTAGCTGGGGTTATTGACATAAGTTACCTCACCCAGCAAGCTGTACTCCTTAATCATTAGAGAAATATTAGTGCCAATGAAATCATGTTTCTTATCTTTCCATGTTCATGCAAAATTTTTTTTTCCTATTATAACTTTATGCTAGTTTTACCTCCAATCTCAATAATAAGAGAAAAAGAACACTACAGGATTGGAATCTGGGAGTCTTAAATGTGCTTCAGAACTTTATTCAGTTGTTTCTCAGTTGTTTCTTAAAATTCCTTTGGTTTGCATTTTTAGACTTACTACTTTTTCAAAAAATTCTTTGGTTTAATATGTGCAATTTTGACCCATTTGGCGATCTTAATTCTAAGTCTTGACTCCTTGGCTGTTCCCCCTCAGTTCAGATAGCCGAATGAAACTAAGTTTTTACTACTAGTCTTAGAATCTACAGAAAATTTAAATTTTTGCTTACAAAGTTTGTCTAAACATTTTCACAAATCTTGTTTTTATTAAAGTTAAGAAAGAAGAAAAGAAACGGCATAAATCATCTTCCTCGTCGTCATCCAGTGATTCAGATAGCTCAAGTGATTCTCAGTCTTCTGATTCTTCTGATTCTGAAAGTGCTTCAGAAGAGAAATCAAAAAAAAGAAAAAAGAAACATAGGAAAAATTCCCGAAAACATAAGAAGGAAAAGAAGAAGCGAAAGAAAAGCAAGAAAAGGTCTTAATTTTACTTTTGCAATAATAGCTTTGTATTCTGAGTTCCTGCTATTTAAAACATCTCAGTTTTGTGTTCATTCAGTGAAATGATGCTTTTGGTTTTATAAGGTTTTAAGTTTCCCAGGCTGGCCTCAAACTCATGATCCTTCTGCCTCTATCTCCCAAGGAGCTGAGATCATAGGCACACACCACCATGCCAGTTTAGGTTTTTATATTTTATAGGAGGATTGTAGGATTGAGAAGAATTACAAGAAACCAACAGTTGTGATCTTTATTTTCTGTAGCAGTTCTTTCTTGCTTTTTGTCCTTTATTTCTTTTGCTCTTTTGATAGGACTAGGGTAGAAAGCAGGTGGTATTGACTGCATATTTACTTTGTTTTCCATTTTGTTTCAAATGATTATGTTTATACTAAAACTTACCTTTATCTGCCTATTGCCTCAAAAGCAACTAATTTCTTAGTATTTAAATTCATCAGAAGTATTAAATTCATCAGACTACATTACCCACAGTTTGATATTTCATATCCATTTTATGAGAAGATATTTTTGAGTATAATAACAGATTTTTGGTTTTTGGGTTTTGGTTGATTATTTGGTTTGTCAGGGGAATGGAAGGTTTTTTTTCTCTCTATGTGATCACATCTTTGGGAGGGATAGGATGCATGTGTTGTGATATATAGAAAAGAAACACCAACAATTAGAAGTTTCAGGTAGGTCCATAATAACCACATTACTTATTTTGTGCATTTCTGTTAAGTGCATCTAGTGAAAGTGAGGCTGAAAATGTTGAAGCACAACCCCAGTCTACTGTACGTCCAGAAGAGATCCCTCCTATACCAGAAAATAGATTCCTAATGAGAAAAAGTCCTCCTAAAGCTGATGATAAGGAAAGGAAAACCAGAGAGAGAGAAAGAGAAAGAGAGTGGTATGTGAATATATTTATTTTATAGTATACCTTACCATAGAATTTCTTTTTTCACAACATTTTATTATTTTACACAGACTTAATTGATAACCTTATCCCATGATTAAAATACATTTAAAAAAAATAATAGCTCATCTCCTTTTCTGGTAACCATGTATATATAGATAGGAGGAAAATTTGACTTAAATTACAAGCATATTGTGAAGAAATGTTACTTTAAAAAAGTAAGCTCTCCAAGTACGAAATATGGTATGATATATAGCATTTCAAATTAATAACAAAACAAGATAGTCTTAAGCCAATAAAAAATAGTGTTTTATTATGTTATTTGTATATATCAACTTTTAAGCAAGTAAGAAACTTATTTTTTAAATTACCACTAGTCCTATTGGTTCTTTATAAGTCATCATAATAATTATATCTGAAAGTAAAAAAAAAAAAAAATGAAATTTTTCTTAGTTATCAGAAATACATTGTCTTAACATACAGGTAATAAAACTTTTGAGTGACCCTCCTATCTTTTCACAATACAGCAAAAATATAAAAAATAAGATTTACTTACTTAAAACTTGGGGATTTGTTTGTTTGTTTTTGAGACAGGGTCTCATTGCATAGTCAGGCTGGCTTTGTACTCTCCATCCTCTGGCCTCAGCCTCCCAAATGCTAGGATTATAGGCATTTACTACCCAGCTGAAATTTGGGTAATTTTGATGGATTGAATTGAGTTTTTCTGTTCATATAAAAAAGGATGTTTCTGAGGAAATGAAGATTCAAGAGAAACTATTCGAACTACTAAAGTTTACTTTTAGTGAACTTTTCAAATGTCACGTACATGTTTGTTGATGAGCTAATTAAATGCATATAACTGTTATTTGAACATAATAAACATAAAACATAAAAAACATAGAAAAGTTTCACTTTTTTATCCCCCCTTTTCAACCAGTTTGTTTTTGATATAAATGATATTAGCATTCTTCTAATTGAGACCAGCATGTCTCTGCTTAATTCACATTACTTACACTTCGCTATACTTCTTTTACCAATGAACAACTGCTCATAGAATGAAGGTACTTTGGAATAAGATAGTTGTAAAATTGTTCTCTCAGAGCCCCCTCTGAGTGCTCTGTGTTGACTCTCTTTAGCACTAGCAAATTAGTTTCATCTTAGTAATGTGTATGTAATGGTGTTCTAAACAGGACCTCATTGGCATTTTGGGGCAGGATCCTGGGCATTAATTACCAGTATTCTTGCAATTGACAATTGAAAAAATGTTCCGTTGCTTTTCTAGATACTTACTAGGACCTAATGGCATATTAATTTAAGAACCACTGATTATATATAAATTTATCAATTTAGGTCAGTAAAGCTGTTTTTTCCAGATTCATTTTTATAAAGGTAATGTGTTTTAACTTTCCTTTGCTTACTTCTAGTAATCTACCTAACTCCCAGCCTCCTTCATACCAGAGACGACTCTTAGTTACTAGGTCTGGCAGGAAAATTAAAGGAAGAGGACCAAGGGTAGGTGATTTTTTTTTTTCTTTTTGTGCTTAAAATATTAATAGTATTGCATTTATCTCCCTTAAGAGCTTCAGAGGACTGGGGGTGTAGCTCAGTGGTTAAGTGCTTGCCTAGAATGCACAATGTCATCCTAGGTTTGATCCCAGAACTGTAAGAAAAATATGTTTTAGAGTGTTTTTGAAATATTATAAAATAATATTTCACTATTCAGGTTACTAAAATCTAGGGGAGATGTGGATATTAAGTTATAGATTCATAAGATATAAATGGATTGTACATTTTTACATGGCACAAAATAGGATTGGGGCTGAGAGTGGTGGTTTATGCCTGTAATCCCAGCTATTGAGGAGGTGGAAATCCAATGATCACAGTTCAAGGCCAGTCCAGGTAAAATATTATCAAGACCCTCATCTCAACCAATAAACCAGACATAGTAGTATACTTTAATAATCCCAGCTATGTGAAATGTGTAGGTAGGAGGATTATAGTCCAGATAAATCTGGGCAAAAACGTGAGACTCTATCCAAAAAAATTAAGCAGAAAGGGTTGGGAGTGTTGCTCAGGTGGTAGAGCACCTGCCTAGCAAGCATGAGGCCCTAAGTTCAAACGCCAGTACCACTGGAAAGGGGAAGGGGAAATTGAGGTCTTTTGACTCTTGCTACTTTCTACCCATCATATCTCTACTGTTAGCAAAAATTTCCCTTTGTTTCATTGTTTGAGACAGAACCTGGCTATACAGTCCAGGCCAGCCTCAGACTTGTAATCCTCCTGCTTCATCCTCCTGAGTACTGGGATTATGGGCATGCACTGTCACTCCAGGGTTCCTATTCTTGTATTTCAGTCATAGGAAGCACTTTACCACTGAGCTACACTCCCAGCAGAAACAATTCTTTATTTTTAACTTGTTCTGAAGATTGAACCCAGGGCTCTACCAACATGCTGTTTCCCAACTTGTATTTCCTTTTTTTTCTCTTTACTAGATTTTCTCCATCAGAAATCTTGTGTTTTCAAAACTTTTTAGAAACTTGGCTGTGCTTTTTCTCTTGTTTCCTACTCATTCCTCAGGAATTTTCAGGGGTTTGTTGTTGTTGTTGTTGTTTCTATACCTAGCATTTTGCTTGAAAACAGCACTTGCTATGTAATCAGTTCCAAATAACAATCCAATGTGTCCTTTTCAGTCTTTATTTAACGTTATCTCTCTCTTTTTTTCCATCACATTTTTTCCCTATCTACCAGCCAGTCTATCTCAAATTTCCAATGCTAGTTTATACTCCTATGCCTAAATATTGGAGGACCTCAAGGTTCTGGCTCTTCACACTGCACATGTTCCTTGGGCAATCTCATTACTTCTGTGTCTGATAACTCAAATTTCCATCTGCTCTCCTTGGCATCAAAGACTTATTTGACCAATAAGCACCATAGCCTACCATCTAGAAAGTTCAGCATATAAGCACTTATTCTTCATACATGATCCTTTTGCCTGTGCAGTGCAGTTCTTTAAACCTAAAGCCCAAGAATCATTTTGATTTTTCTCCTTTCTTTTTTTTTTTTCGGAACTGAGTTTTGAACTCAGGGCCTCACACTTGCTAAACAGACACTCTATATCACATGAACCACTTGGCAGCCATTTTATATTGGATATTTTAAGATAGGGTCTCACGAACTATTTTCCCAGGCTAGCTTTGAACCAAGATTCTCCTTATCTCAGCCTCCCAAGTAGCTAGCATTTCAGACATAAGCCACCAGTGCCCTAGCTTGATTCTCTCCTTTCATTCATACCTTGTAAATCTTACCCATCTGGGGCTGGTCTTGGACCATGATCCTCCTGAGTAGCTAGGATTATAGATGTGAGCCATGGGCGCCAGGCTGGCTTATTTTTCTTATTTGGAATTTACAGTATGATTACTTAAAGTGTCTTCTGCCTCATTGATTTCCTATTTGAAAATTGGGAGATTTTGATTGATTGCTTGATTGGATTGATGTGTGGGTGTTGAGGATTGAACCTAGGGCCTCATATATGCTAAGCATATGCTCTACCACTGAGCTAAATCCCCAGCTGTAATTTTAGAAGGCATAGAAATGCCAGACATTTTAATGAAACCTAGAAATATATATGCTTTAACTATTATTCTATTGCTTTTAAATTTTTTATATGATCATTTTGTCCTTTTTTATTTTCTTAAGCGTTATCGAACTCCTTCCAGATCGAGATCAAGGGATCGCTTCAGACGTAGTGAGACTCCTCCACATTGGAGGCAAGAGATGCAGAGAGCTCAAAGAATGAGAGTATCAAGTGGTGAAAGATGGATCAAAGGGGATAAGTAAGATTCACTGTTATTTTAAATGTTGTAATAATTTTTTACTATTGCACATAATGTTATTTTATTATTTAAATTATTTTTATATACTCTATGGAAAATACAATCTTTTTAGCTAATAATTACACTGTTCTTTTCCTAATAACATTTCCAAAAATCTTTTTTACTTATCTTTTAGGAGTGAGTTGAATGAAGTAAAAGAAAATCAAAGGAGCCCAGTTAGAGTAAAAGAGAGAAAAATAACTGATCACAGACATGCATCTGAGAGTCCAAACAGAAAACTAGAAAAAGAAAAAAAAGTTAAAGAGCATAAATCTAACAGCAAAGAGAGAGACATCAGAAGAAATTCAGAAAAGGATGATAAATACAATAAAAACAAAGTGAAGAAAAGGGCCAAATCCAAAAGTAGAAGTAAGAGCAAAGAGAAATCAAAGAGTAAGGAAAGAGATTCAAAACATAACAGGCATGAAGAAAAGAGGATGAGGTCAAGGAGTAAAGAAAGGGATCACGAGAATATTAAAGAAAAAGAAAAGCAGTCTGATTCTAAAGGCAAAGATCAGGAAAGGAGTAGAAGTAAAGAGAAGCCTAAACAGTTAGAGTCAAAAAACAATGAGCATGACCATAGTAAAAGCAAAGAAAAGGATAGACGGGCACAGTCCAGGAGTAGAGAACGTGATATAACTAAAAGTAAACACAGTTACAATAGTAGAACAAGGGAACGAAGCAGAAGTAGAGACAGGAGCAGGAGAGTGCGGTCTAGAAGCCATGACAGAGATCGCAGCAGAAGCAAGGAATACCATAGATACCGAGAACAGGAGTACAGGAGAAGAGGAAGGTCACGAAGCCCAGAGAGAAGAACGCCACCAGGAAGATCAAGAAGTAAAGATAGGAGGAGGCGGAGGAGAGATTCACGGAGCTCAGAGCGAGAAGAAAGTCAAAGCAGAAACAAAGAAAAATACAGAAACCAAGAAAGTAAGAGTTCTCACAGGAAGGAAAATTCTGAGAGTGAGAAAAGAATGTACTCTAAAAATCGTGATCATAATAGCTCAAATAATAGCAGGGATAAAAAGGCTGATAGAGATCAAAGTCCATTATCAAAAGTAAAACAAAGCAGTCAGGACAATGAATTAAAGTCCTCCACATTGAAAAATAAGGAGGATGAAAAAACCAGGTCCTCAGTGGAAAAAGAAAACCAAAAATCAAAGGGTCAAGAAAATGACCATGTACATGATAAAAATAAAAAATTTGATCATGAATCAAGCCCTGGAACAGATGAAGACAAAAGTGGATGAGTGAGTTGTGTAAACTTATGTCCTTTCTGTCTCAAATTTAAGTTTTAGAGACTTGCTGATGAATCTCCTCTGTGTTGTTTTCATGTTTTGGGGTTATGTTCGTCTCTCTCTTTTTTTTTTTCCTTTTTTTTTTTTTTTTTTTTTTTTTAAATGTGGACTTCATTGAGTTGATCTTTTGATAATCTGCAACCTGGATAATTTGTACCGCTAAAGTTTTAATAAACTTGAAATGAGAAAAACACTTTGGTGTAATACTGTGTGCTATTCTGTATGCATTTTTGTGTTGCAACAATCAGCCAGTAGCATCCTAATTTGCTTAATCAGCCATTTGGAAACAAGCATAATTGATGGTTGCAATGCATTATTACAAAAGCTTGTTTCTTGTGATTACAGTAACTTGGGAAGCCACTAAAAGTTTTATATAGATTTTCTGATTGCATTTGTAATAGAGGCTTGCAGCAATTTCTTTTAATTATACAGAAGCAGGATCCTAATAATTTGTGGTCTTAAATCATCACTTGATTTTACAGTATTTGTACTTTATTTATCTTGTGCTTCATATCTTATTCTTTATACTTCTAGCCATAGCTTGTTTCTTTTTGTTCACTAGTTGTCTATAAAAACAGATGAATGTTTTTTTCAGTTGAGCTGATTGAGTTTGACTTGCTGTTATACAGCATTTGACAGGAACTTGGAAGATCAGACAGTAATTCTCTGTTGCTTTTGGTCTGAAGAGTTGAAATTGTTGCTTTTTTGAAAACATTATTTTATTATTACTGTTACCTTTTCTAAAATTTAAAACAGACATTTCTCATTAAAATATACTACTTGTGCAGGTCCTTAAGCTAGACAGATTCTAAAAATTGTTAATAGTGACATATTAACTAAGATGTCTCTTTGGCCACCAGCCTATAAAGTATTGAGTGTTAACTCTGCATGTTTTTTGTTTTCTGTTTTTTTAAACTTGTGAACTAACTTCTCTAACTCATAGCTATGCGTTTCAAATGGCAGGAAAATGTATCTTTTCTATATATGACCATGATAGGCTGCAGCATGTTTATGACTCTGGTTTCTTTCCACTAAGGTGGATTTATATCATTTACTGTTGACATTATTTTAACTTGGCATGTATAATGTTGCCATATAGAGTAGAATAGAAAGTTAAAAATTTTTTGATAGCTTAAACACTGAACAAATCCAAAGTCCATTCAGAATTTTGTGTGTTGTATTTTACCATTTTTGTGATGTGTGGCCTTTTATTCTGTAATATCTCTTTTAAATAAAACATTGAACATCCAGCAAACACAAATCCTGCCTCATTTGAAAAAGGTATTTGAAATTGCAGTTAATTGTAGCCTCTAGAGAGTTTTGTATTTTAATATTTGTCAATATTGTCAGCTCTATCACCAAGATAGCTTCTTGATAAATCCAGTAGCTACTCAATGCTGTTTGTACTGAATAAGAGTGATGTCTAACATACTTCCCATTATTTATTAATACAGTACCGATACATTTGGCATTGTAGCTGTTACAGAATAAATAATGTAATGAAATGATTATAAGATTGTTTGCAATATCTTGAAACAAATATCCACAATGCATTCTTTTTTTTTCCTGATGGTAAAAATAGTAGACGTGTATTATAATGCAGGGTGATTCTTTGGAGACTGACCACAGACCCACATGGAGGATAATCAAGTCTCAGTGCCCAGACTGTATAATCTGAACATGTTTTTAACAAGTTGTCTTAAATCCAGTAAATTGCATTTTAAAATCTGTTAGAAATTATTTGAGCTTTAAGAAAGGTACTATTTTAAGGAAGGATTTCTAATAACAGTTATATATTTTTAAAGTCCATGCTAAGTAAAAATACTTTTGTGTTGTTGATCCCAGAGCTTTGTTAGTGTTATATGCAGGGACTTTCCAAATCTTTAAAGTTTCAAAAGTAATCATAAAGAAGTGTGTCGGGTGGGGGTGTTGAATAATGTCTATAGTTCTGTTTGGGTTATCAAGAAAATAACTCCATGCTAAGCATTATTTATAGGCCTTTTTTCTTTGTTTAAGCTTTGTTCAAGCTGTTTCTATAGGACAGATGTGATAAGGAGTTGAGATGAGACAGGACAATCAACTAGATTTTATTTTCAGAATAAAAAGAACATTTTGAAAATAGTAGGCAGTATAATTGTACCTCAAAGTCCACTCTTGCATCTGAATAGCACAAGGCCCCAGCAAGTCCTTTCCTTTTCTCACATTTTTAGCAGTTGTGCTCTTTAGTTTTTATTTGAACATTGTCTGTTTTCCCAAAAGTCAGCTATTTAATTTTTCCCATCAAATTGATTTTATAGAATGTTATGCTTCTTTGCATAGCCACCCACCGTTGTTTCACCTTTTAATAGTGTCCTAATCTTTGCTTTTCCTAAAAAAGTTTGATTTTATAGTAGTATCTGAATTTACAGTTCACTTTAATAACCTTATAAAGATATTTTCATTTGTTTTTGCTTGATTAGTGATAGATGAGAAAGACTTTAATATGCAGAATTTTCATGATTGTGTGAGAATTGTATTTCTGGGGAAGATATATGCCACAGAAATTGCTACTGCAGAGAGACAGTGTTTAATGAAATGGTGAAATATGGACAGTAGGGAAGCTACTATGTTGCTTTAAAACATTCTTCAATTAAATTCTAGTTGGTGAGTTCATACAGCTATATAGTTTGTTACTAAATTGAAGCCCTCAGAAGTTGCAAAGAATTTATCTGATAACTCTTTACAAAAGTGTGATACTGATGCATGTTGACTTTGCTGAATGACTTTTGTGGAAGGTGTGAAACTAAGGTAAAAGATACAGACAGGCACACATTGGGTTTCTGGTATTTTGAATATTAAATGATTCTAATTTATTTTCTGTTTAGTATTTGGGGCAAGTTAATATGTTTTTTAGTACTTTGTTCTCCGTGGTAATAGTTTTTTTGTCACACTTAACTTTTTATAGTAAATTTCTATAAAACTGATTGGGTTTGCCTTTACCAGAAAGTTCTTATGTAACTGACTGATATAGAAAAACAAAGTGGGTTTTTTTGTCTTGTTTTATGTTTACTATGATTACTCCGTTTAGAATTTACTATTAAATTAACTCCATGGATTATAGGTTAATTTACTTTTATTGTAAAAAGATACGTTTTGTTACAAATATTTGTTTGAAAAATGAAGCCTCAGGAAGTACAGTGTAGACTGGCACACATCTGTGGTGACCTTCCCAGCTGCCTGGAAAGGATTCAGGCAAATGCAAACTCTCTGACCTGTTGTGTGTCAAAGAACGAAATATTAAAGGAAAAGAAAAACAACTCATGAAAAAATTTCCATCAGCAAGGTTGAGAAGGGAGTTGTTGAGGGCGTTTTTTGTTTTCAGAGCTGAGGGTATGGTGGGGTTGATTTGTGTTTCTGCCTCTTTTTTTTTTTTTTTTTTAAAGCAAATTCTTGTTACCAAAAGCACATGCTGTATATTTCCTTCCCGCTTTGTGTGTTTATAGGATTTGAAAGATTGATAAGTGGACTGGGTGTTTCTCTGTGGGGATGTTCAAAGTTGTGGATGCTCTCTGACGGGAGAGCGTCACGAAGCCCATGCACTTAGCTCACAAGTCACTGTGATGTATATTTTTTTAATGAAATTTAAAAATAAAATTGTCATCTCAATTGTAAAATTGGTTTCAAAATGCTGCTTCTCTTTATCATTAGTGACTATCAGACTGTTTTCTGCAAACTGCATTTTACAAAATTTAAACTTCAAAACTGTATTAACTTTTATAGTTAAAACATTGTATTAAATAAAGTATACTATAAAACAGTTTGAGATTTGTATTTTTTAAAAAATTTATTGGATTACTCAACCTTTATTTTAATTAAAAGTTAAATAGTGAAAATGAACCAAGAAAAATATACTTTTATTGTACCCATGGAGATTTTTAAAAAATTTTTTATATATCTTGAGGAAACCAAATAGAGTGTTAACAAAACCTTCTTTAAGAATTTAGTCAGAATTGATGATTTCCAGGTTTGGGAATAAATTATAGTGTGCTTAAGCTTAACACTTCTGTCTGTAGCCTGTCTTTTGCCCCAATAAAGGTTTAAGGCTGAACTTGGAATATTCATTATTCTCTACTAGAATAATGAATTTGCTTTTTAGTCCCCCCACCCCAAATTCTCAACATTAGGAATACTCCAATATGTCCTGTGCCTGTCAGTTTTAATATAACCCTGATATTTGTGAAGTCATATAAATACTTAACAGGTCTAGGTTTTGTTTGATTTTATTTTAATTAGACATTTAAGGAAATGCATCTCATTGAGAGTTTGTCATTGAAAATGTGCATATATAAAAACATTCTGAACATTCTGTGGTTTGTGTGTTATCAGTTGAACATTATTAAGACTCAAAATTGGAAGTGTTTTTAAAATGCTTTATTTAGCCAGGAAAATATGTAAAATGTGAGTGCTACATACAAATTGTGCAAATTGTGTATTAAAGTACTTAAAAGCATCAATTTGCTTTTTCTATTTTTTAGATTTCACTTCCAAACATTTCATTACCTAGTATTATAATACCTTTTAAAGTGCTAATTCATAGTTTTTACACCTGGGTTTTCCCTTATCATCATCCTCAGCACGCAGTGCTTTGGTTCCACTTTATGTTGTTGCCACAGACTTTATCCATGGCTTTCTTACCACATTGGCACAGTGGAGGCATTTGTGTTTCTGCTGATCTGGATACTACTGAGTTCTTTTGATTAAATTGTTTTTGAATTTTGAGAACATTTGCAGAGCCTTTCCTTTGTTTTTAATGTATTCAATTCTAGTAGAAAGTCCAGCCCAATTGAAAGTAAAATAAATGTATACAAAATAAAGCCTGGTAAAGCTGTTTTGTATTATCCTTCACTCAGCTAAGTTGGCTATATACCATATTCATGTAATTACCATTTTGTACAATGGTTACTTGCTGTTTACAATGTGAAGATAGCTCTATCTTTAAAAAAAAGGCCAGATGCCAGTGGCTCGCGCCTGTAATCCTTGCTACTCAGGAGGCAGAGATCAGGAGGATCGAGGTTCAAAGCCAGCCCAGACAAGTAGTTCCGCAAGACCCTACCCTTCCCAAAAAAGGGCTGGTGGAGTGGCTCAAGGTGTAGGCCCTGACTTCAAGCCCCAGTACTGCCCCAAAAAGAAAGTGGTCCTAGGGTTTGAACCCTACCACTTGAGCCACTCTGCCAGCCCAAATTTTGGGGGTTATCAAACATGCTACACCCCCAAATCCTCTAAAATTAGTTATCACCACTAAATAGTATGCCTTTCTTGGTGCAGTTTGCCCTTGCATCTCAGTAATTTTGACATGGTGTTTTCTAAGCCAAAAGAAATAGCTAAAGTATTTATCCTAACAACATAGTTTTTTGTTGTTTTCCTTGGATAGAGGTTCTTGAGATGAAGTCCAGGATGGCCTTCAACTTGCCATCCTCCTGCCTCAGCCTCCTGAGTGCAGAGACAACAGGTGTGCAGCACCATACTTGGCTTGAGTTTTTTTAAATTCTGTGTGTGTGTGCACATGTGGTACTGGGGGTTGAACCCAGGACCTTGTGCATGCTAGGCAAACACTTACCCACTGAGCTGCATCCCCAGCCCTTAAAATTATTTTGTTCCATTCCTAACCACAGTTCATTGCTAGTGAGATTTGTGCAACTGTTGGTCATATCACAGTTTATCAAGCCTTGGAACCAGATTGGACACTGCTACCTTTTCTCCTATAGCACATTGATTTTAGTGTAGTGGACTTTTATCCCTGCCAGTGCTGCAAATGCAGTCTTACAAAGATGTCATCAAAAGGAGTGATGCATTTAATATGTTGAAGATCTTAAGCCATTAGTAATCTGTGGTATCCTGTAAGTGTCAGATATTGCATATTCCACTCACGGTTTTCGGTGTCCCATCAGCTGTCTGTGTGTTCACCATGGTCTCTCCAAGCATCTTTTTTTTTTTTTTTTTTTTTTTTTTTTTTGGTGGCACAAGGGTTTTAACTTATGTTTGCTAGGCAGGCAGGCCCTCAACACTTGAGCCACTCTGCCAGCACTTTTTTTGTTTCTTGGTTTTTTTTTTTTTTTTTAGATAGGGGTCTCCAGCAAACTATTTGCCCAGGCCCTGAGTTCAAGCCCCAGTACTGCAAAAAAGAAAAAGAATGAAATGGTGTAGCTGCTTAGAAAATGGCAGCAGGGCCTGGAAATGCATGCCTGTAGAACCAGCACTTGGGAGGCAGAAGCAGGAGGATCACCTGTTCCAGGCTAGCTTGGGCTACATATATCTATTCAAAAGTGAAGAAGACAAGCAATTCCCAGAATTTTTAAATAGGATAATGTGATTTGGCAATTCTGTTTCTGGATGTATATCCAAAAAAACAGCATCTCAAAGAGTTACTTGCACACCCATGTTTATATCAGCATTATTCACAACAGTCAAGGTGTGGAAGCAACCCAGATGTCCATTTATGAAGGAATGAATGGACAGTATGTATACATACAATGGGCTATTATTCAGTCTTAAAAGGAAGGAAACTGGCACATTACAACATTGAACACGGGACACATGCAAAGTAAAATAGTTATGAATAAACATGCTGAAGCCAAGTGTGGTGGCACACTCCTATAATCCTAGCACTGGGGACAGGGAGTGGAGGCCAGAGGCTCATGAGTTTAAGGACAGCCTGGACTTCATAGCAAGAGTTATCTCAAAAAAAAAAAAAAAAGCATATACTGTCTGTGCTTACATGAGGTATCTATGTGATCAAATTCATAGTAACAGAAAATGGCTCCCACAAGTTAAGGAAAGTGGTGAACAGGAGTACTTGTTTAGTGGATATAAAATTTCAGTTGTGAGCCAGGCATTGGTGACTGATGCCTGCAATCCTAGCTACTCAGGAGGAAGAGATCAGGAGCATCCTACTCAAAAATACCCATCACAAAGAAGGGCTGGTGGAGTGGCTCAAGCAGTAAGAGTGCCTGCCTAGCAAGCAGTGTGAGGCCCTGAGTTCAAACCCCAGCGCTGCCAAAAAATAACATTCGATTGTGAAGGAAAGCAACGTCCAGAGACTGAATAGGAACGTGAGTATGCTTGACACTGCTGAACTGTGTGCACTTAGAAATGGTTACGATGGTAACTTGTTTTCTGTGCTTTACCACAATTTTTAAAATGTAAAGGGGCAAGGGAATGTAATTTATTAAAAAAAGAAAGAAAAGAAAAAAAGAACCAGCTGGGAGCCAGTGGCTGACATCTGAAATCCTAACTACCTGGGAGGCTGAGATCGGGAGGATTGCAGTTGAGGCCAGACTGTGCAAAAAGTTCATGAGCCCACATCTCCAACATAATAAGAGCAAAATGGACTGGAGGTGTGACTGAGGTGGTAGAGCGCCTGCTTTGCAAGTGCAGAGTCCTGAGAGGAACACCAGTTCCACCAAAAAAACCAAAACACTGAAAGTGTATATAAAGTTTGTGGCAAAACTACACGCAGGGTCATTCTCACCCTCTCTCTATTGAAACTGTATTCCTTACAAACTTTACTATCACTTTTACTACAAAGCAACAAAAGCCCCAAAAGACTACATGTAGAATTACTTTAAATGACTTCAAAACATGGTAATTTGCATGTCTAAGGAGGTGCCCTTTATAAAATAAACCACGGCTCAACTGCTCAGTAATCACACTGATAGTAACAATAGTGAAATGTTATTTGACACTAAAGCTTAAGAAATGAACAACAAAACAAGCATGAATTTCTCCTAAGAAAAGAACTATCTGGGTGGAATATTATTCAGCCATAAAAAGAATGAGGTAGGCTGGGCACAGGGGCTTACTCAGGAAGTAGAAATCAGGAAGACGGTAGTTGGAGGACAGTCTGGGCAAAAAGTCCAAGAGACCCCATCTCAACCAATTAAAAAACTCCCCGATTTGTGGGAAGTGTAAATATAAGCATCACAGTCCGGGCCAACTCCAGCATAAAACTGAGACCCTATTCAAAAAATAAAAGCAAAAAGGGCCGGGGGTGTGCTTCAGATGGTAGAGCGCCTGCCTGAGAAGCGCCAGACCTTGGATTCAACCCCAGTACCACCAAAAAATAAAAAGAACCAGGTGTTGATAACATGGTACAGTTGACAAATCTGATATTAGTGACATAAGCCCGACACCAGAGCCCACAGCGATTCCACTTATTTGAAATCCACAGAACAGACAAATCCACGGAGACCAAGCAGTTGAGCGGGTGCTGCGCTGGGGAGGGGAAGGGGAGTGACCGTGTGATGGGTGCAGGGTTTCCATCTGACAGGAAACACTCATGAGTGAACAATACTGTCAATATACTCCTACCATGGGAAGCACATTTTTAAATAAAAGTTACATTGTGTATTTGTTTATCACAACAAAAAAAGGGAATCTGAATCAATAAAACCTTGGGCTTTTACATATACTCAATGGAAATATTGTAAAGTATCAAGTTAGTCATACTGAGATGAAGAGCAGTTTTACTAATAGAAATTATAAGTATATAATCCATTTACATTTGTAGCTCATATATGAGACAATAAATTTTGTCAGTCTTAAAATAAATTTTCTTCTACCATGTAAAGCCTAGCCGTCCCTTAGATTTCTGAAAATCGTTGTATCTCACCCTCTGAGGGTTATAGAAAGGAAGCTGACCCCCAGTGCTATCATTTGCCTGGTAGCTGGGCTTCACCCCACTTCTGTCCACAAAGGCTGGCCCACGGCCACCTCCAGGTCCTTTCTGTGCAGCTTTTACGAGAGGATAGATATGTTTATTTCCTGATTCAGATTCAAATTTAATTACTTCTCTGGCATAATTCTGAAATTCTTTCTCCTTTTCAGCTGCGAGCATTTCAGTATGTCTCCAATAATCCAGTTCTTCTTGTTTTGCTTCTTTTGCATTAAACTTATTTTTTGCCTATTTAGGAAAGAAAGGAAATACAATTTAGTATCAGTTAAGAACATCAACTGTGGACTGATAGAATTGCTCAAGTGGTAGAGCACCTAGCTAGCAAGTGAGGCCCTGAATTCAAACCCCAATACTACCAAAAAAAAAAAAAAACATTAATTTGCATTTGAAATTTGATATATATTGTATATATAAATTATAACATAATATGAAAGTAATATATCTAATATATAATATATATACATACACATATATATATTACATCTTCAAATGAAAATTAATGTTCTTTTTTTTTTTGGCAGTACTGGGGTTTGAACTCAGGGTTTCATGTTTACAGAGCCACGCCTCCAGTCCATTTTGTTCTGGTTATTTAGAGATGGGGTCTCCAGAACTATTTGTCCAGGGAGCCTCAAACCACGATCCTCCTGATCTCTGCCTCCCAAGTAGCCAGGTGTGAGCCACCAGCTCCTGGCTACAAATTCTCATTTGACACCAACATACTGTAATTTATTTCATAAATTCTCCCATGCTTCTCAGAATAGTATGCTCAAAGTGTGGACCAATCACACTTACTTTAATTCGTAGCTTTATGTATTATAACTTTAAGCAATACAGCAAGATAGTTAAAAGCATAATATTAAATAAAAATCGAGTAGATGATTACTATTTGTATGTAAACTTTGGCAGGCATATAATCACTGCCCCCATCCACATAAGATCATCAGCAGTGAATATCTGAACTAAATTAGTCCAATTACATTCTCTGTTTTCCAAGAACTTGAAGTTGGAACAATGAGAGATATTTACCAATGTAAATTGATCAGGAATCCACTGTCTACCAATACTTTGTAAAATTTTTGTCTTGTAATGTTTATATTAATTTACACTGGATGAGATGGTTTTAATAGCTTTTCTGTGAAATTCTGGTTGACAACTTGTCATTCTGTCTTGTCAGAAGCATTATAAGAAATGCTGAGTTTGTAAAAATGTTTTCTCTACATAAGAATATATTTAATATTCATGAAAATATTTCTCAAAATCTAAAACTTTAACATAAAACCTAGTATTGTCCATGACTTGGAATTTATGAGGGAATGGAACAACCATATGAATGTCAGTATCAAATTTGTTCTACAATTTAAGTAAGCTTATGTGCTATTTGAGTTGGCAATAAAATATTAAGTGTTTAAAAAATAGAAAATAGTACTCAATGAGATTGGAAGTCAGAAAAGGTTAAAAACTATGGCATGAAAGGCAACAAGGGATATGCTAGTTTGGTAATAATTTGTAGAAAAATTGAGGAAACAGAACCACTTGAGGCACAGGAAGGAAGTGACAATGGAAAGAGGATTACTGTAGGCAAAAGATTAGTACCTCAAATTTCATATGCCCTGAGCATAAATACAAACTTATGTTTAACTGGGCATGGTGGTACATGCTTGTGGTCCCAGCTATTCAGGAAGCCGAGGTGAAAGGATGGCTTGAGCCAGGAATTCAAGGCCAGCCTGGGCAACACAATGAGACTATGCCGCAAAAAAAAAAAAAAAAAAGTGATTGGCACATAGTAGACTGAGTTATAAATACGTTGGAATGTTAAGTATTGCACCTAATGACTTTTACCTTTAATTGATTTGTACTTACAGTTTCAGAATATAGTAATATAAATCTAACCATATACTGCGTACAAGAGATGTGCTTTAAATTTAAAAAGTGAAGGAAGAGAAAAGAAATACCATGCAAAGAGAAAGCAAGCAAGAGTGTCTGTAGTGGCCACATAAATATTAAGCAGTATAGACTCTAAAAAAAGACATGTGTATTGTGTGCACACACATATTTATGGGGCTGGGTATCAAACCCAGGGTCTTCTGTATACTAAGCAAGTGCTCTATCACTTAGCTATACCCCTACCCCAAACAGACTTTAAAACAAGGAATAATGCATAGCAATGTGAGTGTATTTAATGCCACAGAACAGTACGGTTGAAATTGTTAAAATGGTACTTCTTTTAACAGTACTGGTGATTGAACTCAGGGCCTCATGCCTGTTAGGCGAGCTCTCTACACTTCAGCCACACTCCAGTACTAAAATAGTACATTTTATAATTTTTTGTTAGGTATATTCTAGAATAATAAAATCTTACCTACTGGCCTACCAACAAGACAAGAAATATTGCTAGGAGCAAAGACAGGCATTTCATAATGAGGAAAAATCAATGTAACAAGAATCAATCTACAACTATGAATGCATATTCATCTAACAACAAAGTTCTGTGATACAGGGAGCAAAAAATGCTAGAAATGAACAAATAAGTAACTCAACAAATATAGTGGAAAATTTCAGAACTCTTTCTTCTGTAAATGATGGAACAAACAGAAAACTAGTAGGACAGAGAAGAGGAAAATAACACTATAGCCAACCGTGATCTAGTCAACAATCATAGAATTTAACCACAAAATACACATTCTTGTCAAATTTACATGGAACATTCACCAGGACAAACAACATGTTGGACCATAAAATGAGTCTCAATACTTAAAATGGAGTCATACAAAGACTATTCTCTTAACTACAATAAAATAATTACAAATAAAGAGAAAATATCTGAGAAATACTCAAATCTGTGGAAATTCAATCTTCAAATGAATGTAAATGAAAATATAACTCACTGAAACGTGAGATGCAAGAAAGCACTGCTTTATATGAAAAGTTATGGTTTCAAATGCTTTAATTAGGAAAGAAGAAAGGTCTACAGTCAATTATCAAAGCTCCAGCATAAGATTTGTTAGAAACAAAAAGAGAATAAGTAGAGTAAAAAAAAATCTAATAAAGATCAAAATGAAAATCAATGAAAGAGAAAATGGGCAGTTGAAAAAAATCAATAAAACAAAAATCAAATCATTGAAACAATAAAATTAATAAACCTTTAGTTATATTAAGAATGCACAACCAAAAATCTTTAAAAATCAACCCCAATACCACCAAAAGTATTTTTTTAAAAAGAATGTACAAAAGATTGAAAAAGACACCAGTACAGAATCTATACACATTAAAAGTACAATAAAACACCATGAACCATTTTATAGAACTAATCAAACCAGCTAAGTAAACTGGCAAATTCTTTAAAAGACACAAGTTATGAAAACTGAATCAGGAAGAAATAGGAAACCTAAATAGTCTTATGTCAAGTAAATGAACTGAATTAATTTAGTCATCTCACCAGTTTTCCACTTAGAAAAGCCCAGGGTAAAGGGGTAAGGGAGAGTAAGTAAAGCACACCCACAGTGGCATACATTGAGACACCCCTTTGAACACCAATTTAAATATTAATAATGAAAGACAGGACTGTAAAGTAGGTACAGTGTGTATGGGGGGTACTAGTGGGAGGGAGGAGGGTGAATGAAGGAGATTCGGGTGACAGTATATGGCAGATGGACTTTATATACCTATATGAAACAGAACTAAGAAACCTCTTGCAATTGCTTTAAGTTGGGGCGGGGAGGGGGGTCAAGTAGAGAGATGATGGGGTGATGTAACTAATTACAATATAAGTTTAATTGGAACTATGAATCCCCTCCTGTAGAATGAATATATTGTACTAAAAAAGTGAAAAAGAAAAGGCCAGGCCCAGATGACTTCACTGGCAAATTGTATCAAGCATTTAAGAACTGACATCAATCCTCCATGAACTCTTTCAGAAAGTGGAAATGGAGAAGGAAGGAAAACCGTTCAGTGTGTTGGTGAGGCTGATGTTGTTCTAATAGGAAGGTAAAGAAACACCCCATCAGAAAAGAATGCCACTTTCTGCATGAAAACAGATGCAAAAATCCTTAACAAAATATTGCAATATAATTCAGGAATATATTTAAGTATAGACATAATTTGTAAAGCCAACCATGACTAAATAGGAATATAAAGTTGTTTCAATATCTAAAGTTGATAAAACACCAAACTGGGCCCATAGTCCCAGCTATTCAGGAGACTAAAACACAAGGATCGCTTCAGCTCAAAAGTTCAAGACAGGCCTGAGCAACATAGCTAAACCCCATCTCAAAAAAAAAAAAAATAATAATGAGGCAAACCATATTAGTAGAATAACAGAGAAAAACACATAGGATCACCTCAATTTATACAGAAAAAGCATTTGACAAAATTTGATGCTCATTTATGCTAAAAACTCTCAGCAAGTTAAGAATAAAGAGAGACGGCTGATAGTTATCTATGGAAACCTATAGGAGACATCATGGCTTCATGGTGAAAGACACAATATTTTCTATTTAAGATTGGGGGTAGGAGAGGCTCTTACTATAGAGCCAAGGCTGGCCTTCAACTCACAATTTTACTATAGTCTCTCTAGTGCTAAGATTACACATGCACCACAATTCCCAGCTTTTTAATCAATAGTGTACTAGGTTCTACACAGTGGAGTGAAGCAAGAAAAAGAACTGACATACATTTGGAAAGGAAGAATTAAAACTGACTTTATTCACAAACAAAATGACTACATGTAAAAAGTTATAAAGAAATACCAAAAAGTTAATAGGCTTCAGGACACAAATCAATACACAAAAATGAACTGTGCTTTTACATGTTGTAAACAAATGGTCCAAATGGAAATAAAAAAAACAATTTAAATTATAAGGACATTTTAAAAAATAAGAACAGCCAGGCATGGCAGTACACACCTGAATTCTCAGCACTTGGGAGGCTGAGGCAAGAGGATCACAAGTTTGAGGCTACACAGCAAGACCTCATCTCAAAAAAAAAAAAGTAAAAGATCTCTACACCCTTAAACTACAAACACTACAGAGGAAAATTAAAGAACTAAGTAAATACACAATATTCATGAACTTGAAGGCCTGATCGTTATATTTCCCTAAAACATTTCTAATTCTCCCCCAAATTACTCTATATGTACTGCAATGCTAATAAAAATCCAGCAGACATTTTCTAAAAATTGACATTGATTTTAAAACATATGTTGTAATTTAAAGAACCTACAACAGCCAAAACCATTTCTAAAAAGAACAAAGCCAGAGGACTTACACTACCTAATCTCAAAGATGTTCTGTAAAGTACAGACAGACACAGGGTGTGATTGTACAAAAAGACACAGGGCTAGGGATGGAGCTCAGTGCTTAGCGTGCACTAGGCCACAGGGCCTTGGCTTATTCCCAGCATGAAAGAAAGGAACGAAAGGAAAGGAAAACTCTTAGAACAAAACAGAGGAAAAACTCATAACATTAAATTTGGAAGTTATACCTTGGCCATGACATGAAAAGCACAAAGTAAAACAACCAAGAAAAACTAGAGAAAATGGACTTCATGAAAATTAAAACTTTTTTTACATCAAGGATGTCAACAGAGTGAAAAGGCAACCCATGGGATGGGATAAAGCATTTTAAAAAATCACACTCTGACAAGAGGTTACTGTTCAGGATATAAAAAAACAGCTAACGTGGCTAAGGTAGCCTGGCAGTAGAGTGCTTGCATAGGATGTGTGAGGTTCTGGGTTCAATCCCAGGGGATTTTTTTTTTTTTTTGGCAGTAGTGAAGATGGAACCTAGAGCCTTACACATGGTAAGCAGTGCTCTGCCACTGAGTATATCCCTTTAAACTCATTATGATATCTACAATAAACAAGAAAAAGAAAAGCAAGTGTTGTGCTCACTTCAGCAGCCCATATACTAAAACTGGAAAAAAAGCAACTGTTGATTGGAAAAAATGGAACCCAGCTAGTGGAAATATAAAATGGTTCAGCAACTGTGAAAAATAATATGGCAGCTCCTCAAAACACTAGACATAGAATCCACATTGGTGCTCAGGCCTGTAATCCTAGCTACTTAGGAGGCAGAGATCAGGATGATTGCTGTTCGAAGTCAGCCTGGGCAAATAGTTCATGAGACCCTATCTCAAAAATACTCAACACAAAAAAGGGCTGGTGAAGCACTGACGAATGGATTAAGAAAATGTGGTTTCTATACACAATGGAATTTTATGCAGCCATGAAGAAGAACGAAATGTTATCATTCGCTGGTAAATGGATGGAATTGGAGAACATCATTCTGAGTGAGGTTAGCCTGGCTCAAAAGACCAAAAATCGTATGTTCTCCCTCATATGTGGACATTAGATCAAGGGCAAACACAACAAGGGGATTGGACTATGAGCACAAGATAAAAGCGAGAGCACACAAGGGAGGGGTGAGGATAGGTAAGACACCTAAAAAACTAGCTAGCACTTGTTGCCCTTAACGCAGAGAAACTAAAGCAGATATCTTAAAAGCAACTGAGGCCAATAGGAGAAGGGGAACAGGTAGTAGAGAAAAGATTAGATCAAAAAGAATTAACCTAGAAGGTAACACCCACGCACAGGAAATCAATGTGAGTCAATGCCCTGTATAGCTATCCTTATCTCAACCAGCAAAAACCCTTGTTCCTTCCCATTATTGCTCATACTCTCTCTACAACAAAATTAGAGATAAGGGCAAAATAGTTTCTGCTGGGTATTGGGAGGGGGGAGAGGGAGGGGGCGGAGTGGTTGGTAAGGGAGGGGGTGGGGGCAGGGGGGAGAAATGAACCAAGCCTTGTATGCATATATGAATAATAAAAGAAAAATGAAAAAAAAAAAAGGGCTGGTGAAGTGGTCCAAGTAGTAGAGCTCCTGCTTAGCAAGTGTGACATGCTGAGTTCAAGTCTCAGTACTGCCAAAAAAAAAAAAAGAACTCACATGATTCAGCAATTCTACTCCATCAGGACTCAGACATCTGAATTCACAGAAGCATTATTCGCAATAAGCAGAAGGTAGAAGACCATTCAAAGGTCCATGGGTGGATGGATGGACAAAGAAAATGTAGTGTATACACACAACGGAATATTATTTCAATGAGCCATGTACTGCTACCACACCCCTGAACTCTGAAGATGTGATGCTAAGTGAAATAAGTCAGACACAGAAAGGACAAATATTGTATGATCTGCTTCTATGAGGTACCTAGAACAATCAAATCCACAGAGACAGAAGGTAGAGCAGTGCTTGCTAGAGCTGGAGGTATGGGGACCAGGGAGTCACTACAGAATGGATGATGAAAATGCTCTAGAGCCAGGTAGTGGTGACAGCCAATGTGAATGTGCTAATGTCTCCAAATCGTGCACTGAGAAGCAGTTCAAACAGTGTCCGAGGTATAGCTTAGTGGTAGGGCACTTGTCTAGTGTGTGTGAGGCCCTGAGTTCAGTCCTCAGCACTGCAAAAAAGGGGAAAAAAAAGAAAAGGCTAGAAAATACAAACATTTCTGGATTCAATCCCCAGCATCATACACACAAAGGTTAAAATGGTAAATTTTAGGTTATATTTTAACATAATAAAAAAATAAACTTAAAAACTCAACAATAAAAAACTCCATTAAATAATTGGCAACATTTGAATAGATGCTAACACAGACATGAAAAGACAGGCATAGGGAAATGCAAGGTAAAGCCATGAGCTATTACTGCATTAGTTAACATTACAAGGTGACAACACCAAGTGTAGGCAAGGATGGAGAGCAACCTGCTCACATACTTCACTAGTAGGAATAGAAAGTGGTACTACCTATTTGGAAAACAGGCTTTAATCACAAATGATTGGGGTCAGATCCTCTGTCCGCCTTTTAGAATTTCTGCCATCCCCTCTCAACTCAACCCCAAAGCCCATGCGATCAAAGTCAACTTAGTTAAAATGAGGGGAAAAAATAAAACAAAGATAAGCATTACAGCCAGTCATATGCATTTATGTTTTCTTTTACTAAATATTTAGTGAACTACAATAGACATTGAAAAAGGATAACACATTTCTGTAAAAGAGAAACCTAGCATGGGAGCCTCAGTGCAGACAAAAGCAGAAAAGGACCTAACAGTTTTGACATATTTTATTGTGTCATAACCATAATGACCAACAAAGTAGACTGCTTGGGAGACACAATCAGCATGAATTCTGTATCACACAGTCATTGCTAAAGTCAGTGGAGATATTTAGGAATATTCACCATTTGTTGAATATGGGCATCTTGAACTTCTAGGAGTTCTTTATTAGCTTTGAGTTTTTTCTCATTTTCATGCTCCTGGTAAATCTGATCTGCTTTCATGATAGCCAGCAATTGTTCTTTAGACTCTAATTTTCTTTGTCTTTCTTCCTCCTCTTTGTTTTTCATCTGGATGTTTAAAAGTAAATAAAAAATTAAACCAGTTTGGCAAACACTCCTGATTAAAAAGGAACAGAGTTAGAATGCTCCAAGCAAAAAGTCAGCCAGGAGCAATGTGGGAGCAGAAAACTATCTATGTGCACATGTGTTGATGTGGCTGGGTTACTCTATTTCTTGAACATCAGGAAACACCCAATGAAAACACAAGTTGAGTGATACAGGACATGTCGGATGTTTTAAAAAAAAGAAAATATGGCTGGGCATGAATGGCACACACCTGTAGTCCAGCACCAGGGAGGCTGAGGCAGGAGGATCTGTTCTGAGGCTCTGTCAAGAAAGAAAGAAAGAAAGGAGAGAGAGAGGGGAAGAAAGAAGAAAGAAAGAAAGGGAGGGAAGGAAAAAGAAAGGGAGGGAGGGAAGAAGGGAGGGAGGGAAGGAGGAAATATAGGAAGAGAAAAGTAAGATCTTCTCATTTATAATTGTCATGGCATCTTCTGTTTGAAAATAGACATTGATTTAAAGAATATGGGAAGATATTCATGCATGCGTCTCACACCTCTGCTAGTTTCGGGTCAGAGAGCAGAGGGGTGAAGACCACATGGAGAAGTCTTAAACTTGTTTTTCTTTGTTTGTCATAATTGAATTGTTTACCACAATGGCTCTATGTTCCGCAATCGCTTTTAATTCTGCTTGAGTTTTTTCATTTTTTTCTTTTTCTCTTCTCTCCCATTCAGCCTCAGCTTCTGCAATATCTCTAGCAGTAATTAAATCTTCAGTACCAAGTTTCTCTTTCATTAGTTCACCCAGGAAGTTATTTATTCTTTCTCTCCGTTCCTCCATTAACCTACAACAAAACAACCATCCTTGTTAAATCTTCCTGACCAGATCTGTAATGGAGCCAGGGTGATTTCATCAGGGAGGCAGAGATATTTTACAATCCATAAAGTTAAGGGAGATCTACTGCTCCCTTTATATATTGACTTTTTCCAATGTATATTAATGTTATGTATTTTTATTTCCTGAAATAAGCAATTTGAGGAAATAAGCAATTTTTGTAACTAGAAAGTAACATATTCTAAAAAAATCCAAGGAGTAATGTGTGTAACATGGTCGTGTGCATGTATATGCATGTACATGTGTGTAGGAAAAAAGGTATTAAAATCTCCACAACTGAAAATATTTTAAAATACTTTCTTAGACTACTGTGCTTACTGTGAGATTCTAGGGGACAGGCACTGGCTGAGTTCTCTCTCTAGGCCAAGGTCAGCTATGTATCTGGCACAGAATAAAGAATAAATATATTTTGTTAAAGGTATGGGGGGAGGAAACTGAGCAAAGATATTTTAATTGATTGTGACAAATTCACTAACTTATTGAATGAGTTCACAAATCAATGTGAGAGATGATGAAAAGAGCACCTTGGAAGGCCCAAAGACAGTATGGTGTAAAGTGGAGAAAAGACATTTCTGTAAATAACCATGGAAGGCAAAAGGTGATACACGCCAGGAGAATGCTAAAAGTGATAGGACAGAGGAAGTGAAAAGGGAAGACTGGGCAAGGGGATGTTTCAGCTAGAATTGCAAAAACACTTTTTTTTTCTTTGCCCCACCTCCTGTACCACCATTACCAGGCTGTATTTCATTATATGACAAGCCCCAATGATGGACATTTAGGTTTTTACCCCAGTTTCTCGCTATTATAAACATGGCTGCAGGTAACATTCTTTTTTGCAAGGGGATGGCGATGAGACTGGGGTTTATACTCAGGGCTTTGTGCTTTCAAAGCAAGTGCTCTACCACGTGATCCACTCCTCAGCAAAAACACTTTCAAAGATGCAAAGCAGACTATGTACCAGACACTAGTCCAGGACTAGGAACATAGCAGTGAGTCAAAACATTGACAATTTCTACCCTCATGGACCTTTCATTATTGCTAGGGGAGAGGAACCACAGAAAAAAAATAATTAAAACTTACAGTACTATATGTCAACCAATGAGGAAAAGGAAAGCAATTGAAGTGACAAGCAACTGAGGAGAAAGTGTACAGTTTGGATTTGAAATGTCCCCCAAAGGCCAAAGTGTTAAAGGCCTGGTGTCATCCTGTGGGGAGGAGATGGTGGAGCCCTTAGTGGCCTAGTATAAGGAAGTTAGGTTAGTGGGGGCATAGCTGTGAACAGGATATTGGGACTATGGCTCTCTCTCTCTCTCTCTCTCTCTCTCTCTCTCTCTCTCCATCCCTCTCTTGCACACGGTCATTTCTGAGGTGAGCAACTTCCCCCACGATATGCTGCCTTGACACAGGCCCAAAAGCAACAGGGCCAACCCACCATGGATTGAAATCTCCAAAACTGTGAGCCAAAATATCTCCGTATTTCTTACAGTGATGGAAAACTGACGAGGCATAGAGAGTGAAATTTTACTTTTTTTTCCTTTCTTTTATTTTTTTCTTTAATCTACAGGCTATAATTTTAAATAAGGTGATCAGGAAAATCCTCAATGAGAAAGTAATATTTAAGTAAAGGTCTGAAAGAGTTAATGAAGCAAGTTCTGTGTCCTCTGGAGGTGAACATTCCCCCAGAGTGTACAGGAAGTCCAGTGCAGGTGAGAAGAGGGAAGGAGAGTATAGTCAGAGAGGAGGTCTAAGAGATGGAGATGGGGCTAGCTGGGAACTGGGGTGCTGTGGAGCTTATGGATCGTTGTGGAGACTCTAAAAGAGATGAAAAAATGAGAGGACGTTGCACAGTGGAAAAGCATGATCTAGGGAGAAACACCCCACACTGAAATCCAGCCTCCCTGCCCTTCTTTCTCCACTCCATCCCAAACTTCCCACTCAGATAAGCAAGGACCTCCAAATCTGGGAGATACTTCATTTATAAAATCTTAGTTAATTCTCAATTGACTGAACACTGATGACTGCTCCCATCTTTCTGACATTCTCCTTTCTCAATGTTTCTCTGGTTTTCCTCCAATGCCTGGAAAGTATTCTCTGGTCTATGAAGTTTCCTGTGGACTATGCCACCTGTATTTTTTAGCTAGTCCCTGTAGGTGACTGCCACTAACTACCACTTATGTTTCAGGGGCTCACAGAGCTTTTTCCAGCTCGTCTCTCCTATAGCAGACTAGTATTTTCAACTATCCGCTGGAGAATCCTCAAGTCTTTTCATGCCCCAAACTGAAAATAACATGTCACTAAATGCCCTAGTCATAAATAAAGTGAGGCCTTTAGTCTTTCTAAAAACTACTCCCATAACTTTTGATTTATTGTAAAATAATTTCATGCAGCATTTTATTATTATACAGATTTAAAAATTCTACCTTTGTGTTTCAGCTTCTTTTTCTCTCCCCATTTGTAAAAGATGCTTTTTTGCTTTGATAAATTTTCTAATCTTTTCATCTTCTTCCTCTTGCTGCTGCTGTTCTATAGCTTTGATGATATTTTTATCATTCATATGTTCCTTGGGCAAATAAATATATATTCTTTTGTCACAAAAATATCTTCCAACGTATCAATATCTAACCAGAACCTGTCAAATGGTCATAGCTTTTGACCCAGTTAATTTTCTGCTGGAAATGTATCCCAAAGAAATGATTAGAAATGTAAATAAAGGTTTACAAGCTATGTACTTCATCTCAAAGATATTTATAAATTGGAAACAATCTCTAAGTATTCAATGATAGATAAATGGTTAAATAAATCACAATCTCAATGACATAGGAAGATACAATAATCACTAAATGGGGGAAAGAGCAGAATGTGAAATATTACATACTATATCGCAATTTCACACATACATGTAAACGGAAGAAATGGCAAACGCACAGCATCTAGGTATGAGATATTGATGACTTTTACATCTTAAGGCTTCTCTTATTCTTTTCAAATACCTCATTTCTTTAAAAATATCATTAAAATAATTGTATAATCATATGAATTACATTAAATATACATGATTTTCAGTTAATGTTTGAATACTTATATAGTCACATGGTTTAAAAAATAAAAATATTTTTAACATAGACAATGTAAAATGTCCTTCCACCTCATTCCCTATCTGCTTCTTCCAAACCCCTCAGCTAGACTCAAGCACTGTTACTAGTCTCTTGTCCAGGATTTCTTTTTGCATATACCTAGAAGAAAATATAGATGTATATTCTAACATAAAATTAAAAAAATTTTAAAACATAAAATAAAATCTGCTCCTATCAACATACATTCTCTGATACCTAACTATTTAGCCATAGTAAAAATAGTTACCTTTGAACACTAATAGACATATTAGTGTATCCTATAAATAGAAACCAATTTAAGGTAAACGTTGTCAGGCACAGCATTCAGTCTTCCAATGTATTTAAAACTTAGGGTCTCCTATATGCAAGCACTCTTAAATATTCATCTATTTTGTGGGCTATATTTTTTCTTTTTTTCTTTCTCTCTTTTTGGTGGTATTGGGTTTGAATTTAGGGCCTTGGGCTTGCTAGGCAGAACTCTTCCACTTGAGCCACGACTCCAGCCCTTTTTGGGTTTTTTTGGAGATAGGGTATCACATTTATTCCCAAGCTGGCCTGAACCACAATTCCTATTTATTTTTCCCATGTAGCGGAGAAGACAAGCATGAGCCAACATACCCAGCTTTTATTGGTGGAGATGGGGCCTGGCGAACATGTTAGCTGCTCTGGCCTTGAACCACAATCCTCCTGATCTCTGCCTCCCAGGTATCAGGGATTACAGGTTTAAGCCACCATGCCAGCTACATAGGCTGTTAATTAAATTAGTTAATTAATTTTGCAGTCCTGGGGTTTGAACTCAGTGCCTTGTGTTTGCTAGGCAGGTGCTCTGCCACTTGATCCACTCCTCCAGACCTTAGGATGTTAATTTTTAAAGGCTGCAGTCTGGTTAGGAGATATATTGGTCAATATGAGAACTACTGAAAACATCAAACTGTTGTAAGTTATTCTTTTGAATGATTCCTTACAAGTTTTATTTTGCTGCTTTGTTCAAGTTTACCGTAATACTCATATAGACTCTTTATGACAGGAAATGATAACTTCACACAGATTTACTTCTCACTTTTAAACACTGAAAACTTCAACTCAAGGTCAAATGGACAGTAAATGGAAGTTAGCATTCAAAACTAGGGTTATCTCACATAGTGTGACTGAGAAGAAAAATGGCTGTACCCTTGAACCAAGAACAAGAACTTATGAGAGAGGAGCAATAATATTACAAGTAAAACTCTTAGAAATTAGACCTGACAGCTAAAATTTAAAGATTTAGTGGCTTGGGGTGTAGCCATGTGGCAAGAGTGCTCACCTAGCATGACTGAGGCCTTGGGCTGGAACCCCAGCACACAAAAACTTTCAACAGAAGGCTTGGAATATAAAGTTGAGAATAACTATAAGAGTAGGAAAAAAATGGCAGGAAAAATTAATTGCCTAGACAAGATTCTTTCTTCTCTTCTTCATTGCACAGACATCATTCAGGGTGCGAACATGTTCAGCTAAATAAAGATATTTCTAAGTTTTCTTTTCAGGTAGGTGTCCCTAAATTGTAATTAACAACATTCAGCAGAAATTGTTATGTGGGATAGAACAGAGAGGGCACTACTTTTTTGGTTTTAATGAAATAGGATCTCACTGTATTGCTCAGGTCTGAACTTCTGGGCTCAAGTGATTCTCCTGCCTCAACCTTCTGAGTAGCCAGGATTAAGGCATCCACCACCATGCCCAGCTGTGACACTACATATTGACCTTCATCTTTTCTTTATGAATGTGAACATGAGAAAGAATGGGGCTCCCTCCCCATTCGTGAGGACAGATACAATCTGTTTTAAGCGTAGCAGTGGCTCAAGTGGTAGAGCACCAAGCACAAGACCCTGAGTTCAACCCCCAGTACCATTAAAAGAAAAAAAAAAAAGAATATCAGAGTGAAAAAAAAGAAGTTTCTCCAGTTCCTGTTGAGCCTGGAGGAGCTGCAGCAGTCTTGGAGTCAGCACTCCTGCACTTTCACTCCACACTTCTCTAAGCTGCTGTTATTTTGAGTATCTATCAGAATGGTTCTAGAACAGTAGACAAAGTAGATGTTGAATGCTCCCAAAGCCCATGTGTTAAGGGCTTGCTCCCCAGAGTGGCATTATTGGGAGGTAGTGGAACCTATAGGAAGTAGACATGTGAGAGGTCCTTAGGTCATTGGGAGCATGTCCTCAAAGGGGGCTGTGGGCTCCTGCCCCTCCTCTTTCTATGTTGGTTCCTAGCCATGAGGTGAGAAGTTTGCTCCCCACAGTGTCATCTGGCTCCCTCACTGGAAGCTGAGAACAAGGGATCTGCCTGACCTTGCACTGAAACCTCAAAACTGTGAGTCAAAATCAACCTTTTTTCCTTATAAGTTAGTTATCTCAGGCATTTTGTTATAGTGATAAAAAGCTAACCAACACAAAAATTATTCAAGTAGAAATAAGACAACAAAAGATCTTATTTTGAAAGAAATAAGATTTTCCAGATTGAAAGCATCAACAGAGGACTAAGCAAAATGAATGAGAATTCTGAGGCACGTCTTTGTGAGACTTTACAGCACCATAGATACAGAGAGGGAGGGGAAGAGGGAGAGAGAGAGAGAAGAGAGAGAGAGAGAGAGAGAGAGAGAGAGAGAGAGAGAGAAACTATCATACACATTGGATGAATACCATAAATGGTGTCATTTACTGTTTCTCAGTAGCAATACTGGATTCTAGAGGAATATGAAACCATAAATACAAAATTCTGAATTCTGAACCCAGGATTCTAATTCCATATCCAGTCAGATTATAAATCAGGTACAACTTTAGAAGATAAATTTTTCAGATAATTCAAAAATTTTATCTTCCATGTCCTTTCTCAGAAGCTACTCAAAGATGTATTTCGGCAAATTGGGAGGTAAACCAAGAAAAAAATGAGGCATCAGATTGAGGAAGTAGGAGGTGTGGCACTGGGACATCCCAGGATGCCAACTGTGCTGCAGGCCTAGGGAGCAAACAGATGGAAGGAAGGGAAGGATGGAGGACTCTGGAGGATAAGCTTCAAGAAAAACAGCACAGGTAATTGAATGTCACTTAGTTGAACATTTAAAAACTCGTATCGATATACATTTGGCAGAACTTATTGAACACTAGGGAAAACTGAAGTCAACAAAATCAAATTTTAAAAGGGTCAAAAAACTGAGTCATCAAAGCAAATGAATTCAAAGACAATTATATTAACCACAGAAAAATAAACGTTTATATTAGGTGTGGTGCCCACCTATGATCCCAGCACTGGAGGTGTGCTGAGGCAGAAGGATAGCGAGTTTG